AGGCATGTTTACACATGGACCTTGTGAAAATGCAAGTTGGCCGCAGCTTCCCGGAGAGTACCTTGGCAGTGTATTTCAGCCTGGAAAGCACTCCTTCTCTTTGACACTCACTTCGAGGAAATGGAGACAAAAAAATAAGGTGTGCATAATGTACATGAGTATAGTGATGGCTACAATATTTACTAAGAAAAAAGACAAAAATGCTATACCATACAGCTATTTTAACACAAATGTTTCAGAAGAATATTTGACAAAAGAGGAAAGCATTCATGATATAGATCAAGGGGAAAAAATGATTACCTCTAGGGTGTAGAATGCTACAAAATTTTTACTTCTAAATATTTTTCTGTATTTTACAAACTTTCTACAATAAACACGTGTTATTTTTCTAATATTTAGATGGGGGGATGTGGAGAAAATGTTTTTAAATGTTTACGGAAGAAATGAAGCAGCACGTTCAGATGGCAAAATTGGTGTTATCTCCCTTAGAGTATCACATGACCAATCAAAGCAACCTCTGAGTTTTAAGTATCCCTCTAAATAGGCCAAATATAACTTATCTTAGGTAATAGACAGAAAAAAGATAGAAGCTGATGGGCAAGGTAACACAGGGTATTAACCATCTTAGCTGGTAAGCTTAGCTGATAAGCCTTAGATAGCTCCCGTCTTTAAGGTCTTCTTGTCTACTAGTCAGATAATACAGAAGAGGTCTCTGGTTATAATCTTACAATTTCCTCTGACGTTAGAAATAAAATGTGTATTAACATATGCCTTTCAAAATTACTTTTTAAATACGTAATACATGTACATGGTACAAAATTCAAAAGCACAAGAGTATACGGTGAAAAGTAAATCTCCCTTGCATCCCTGTCCCCCAGCTCCCAAGAGGCAATCAATGTTATTATTTTGTGAATCCTTCTGGAAAATATGCATTTGAGTGACCTTTTTAATGTTCATGATAGCAGACTATACACACTGACCCGCCTTTTTACATTTAACGTTTTGGTGACTGATCCATATTAGTACCTTATAGAGCTGCCGTTTTACTGGCTGCAGAGTATTCCATTGTATGAAAGTCCCATAATTTAATTAGTCCCTTATTTACAGACACTTGTTTCCAATCTTTTGTTCTATCAACCAGTTTTGCAATGAATAACCTAATACATGTAATTTTATATACAAGTATATTTGTATAATACATTCCTGGAAGTAGAATTTTAAAGTCTGATGAATACTGCCAAATCACCCTCTACATGCAGCTGAACAGGTTTAGGCTTTAACCAGTGATGCATAAGAACATTTCCCCACACTCTTGCCAACACAGTATGTTAGCAAACTTGCTGATCTTTGCTAATCTGTTAGGTTAAAAAAAAAAGTATCTTTTTGTAGTTTTATTTTATATTTCTTCCATTATAAATAACTTTAAGCATCATTTTGTATATTTAAGATTAAGATGTTTATTTCTGTGACCATTTGGTTCATATCTTCTACATTTCTTTTTATCAGGTTGTTAGGCTTTTTCTTATTGATTCTAGGAGTTATTTATATATTAGAAAATTAGTCCATGATCTATGAGTTGTAAATACTTTTCCTACTTAGTAATTTGTCATCTGACTTTATTTATGACTTTTTTTTGTCATGCAAAATTATTTTTTATTTTCTGGCTTCAAGGTTGTTTATCTTGTTTCTAAACATCTTCCCCCACTCCTAGTATTAGGAAAAAAATCCCCATGTGGTCTTAGGGAGTTTTTATGATTTTTTTTTTTTTTTTTTACATTTAAATCCTTGCTCCATGCATCCTGATTCATATTTTAGTGTAAGGTGTGGAATGAACATACAGATTTTGTTTCACATGACTATTATAACCTAGGGTTCAGAGATGAACTCTGGTGAATCTCCACCCAAGGAGGAGCTGGGATCTCCACACCTACCTGCCCCTGTTTTATGTCATGAGTCATCCATGACAGGAAGTTTCAATTTGCCACCTATGGACTGTAACCTGTCCTAGCCAAGTGCTCAAGGTTTAGCCCTGGCAACAACTTCCTTAAGTCCCACTGTATCCCAAAGGCACATTCCTTCTGGGTCCAATGCAAATTTGGCTTCAGAACTGACCAATGAACTATGATATCCCATAGTCAACCAATCCAAATTGAACAAGCTTTTATCCTTCATTTACATGCGAGGACCTAAATAAGAAATTGTGCAGGAATTTTGGCTATATGAAATGACCCCTTTTTGTTCAGGGAGATATTGCTTTGGGAGCCAATCCCCAGTGTTCTCCTTACTTGAAAGTAATAAAGCCTTTTCCTCCTACCCTAGTCTTGGTTGCCCTCTCCAAGTGACAGATTCCTGTTGTCTGGTCACACTATCTGTATGAGTGAGTGGGAAAAACACACTGTCTTTCCTCTGCTCCCACAGCACAATTATCAACACAGAAGACTGACTTCTGTGACCAAATGTGTGGGGACTTCTCCCCACTGGCAAGCAAGCAATTCTGTAGTGGGCACCAGCAATGTGTCCTCCAACTCAATTCCAACACCATCTACCTGGAGATAGCATAAGATCCCACAGGTTGAGGGCTCAGTCTCTAAGACTGCCCCCACTTCAGATGCCAGTTGCAAGTCTAGGCCTCTGGAAATTTGACCAACCAGCTATAAATCAGGGTTCCCACAACCTCTTCCTTGGGTTTGATTAGTTTGCTTGAGCAGCTCACAGAACTCAGGGAAACACTTACTTACGTTTACTGGTTTATTAAAAAGGATATTACAAAGGATACAGATGAAGAGATGCGTAGGGTGAGGTATGGGGGGAAGGGGGCAGAGCTTCCATGACCTTCCTTCCCCAGGTGCACCAACCTCCAGAAACCTCCCAGTGTTCAGCTGTCTGGAAGCTCTCCAAACCCAGGCCTCTTGGGCTTTTATGGAGGCTTCATTACATAGGTATGATTGATTTAAATCATTGGCCACTGGTGATCAGCTTAACCTTCAGTCCCTCTCCCCTCCCTGGAGGTTGGGAGGTGGGATTGAAGGTTCCACCTCAGTCTTTCCTATAACAAGCCCCCATCCTGAAGCTACCTTGGGGCTGCCAGCCATCATTAGCATACAAAAAGACTCTTACCACCTTGGAGATTCTAAAGATTTTAGGAGTTGTAAATCAGGAGATGGGGATGAAGACCAAATTTATATTTTCACAATATCACACTAGGGGCCAGCCCGGTGGCGCACTGCTACTTGGGAGCGCAGTGGCACTCCCGCCGAGGGTTCAGATCCCACATACAGACCGGTTCCCACTCACTGGCTGAGCGAGGTGCGGGTGCAACACCGAGGGTTGCGATCCCGTTGCCGGTCCCGGTCCGGTACGGGCACGACACTGAGGGTTGCGATCCGTTGCCGGTCACGAAAAAAGACAAAAAGAAAAAACAAACAAACAAACAAACACAATATCACACTATCTTATTGTCCTAAAAAAATATTTATCTATCTTTTTCCCACTGAATTGAAATGCCAGCTTTAGGGAACTTTTTGTTTTCGATATTTTTCCCCTCCTAGATGAGGGCTAAGCTATTGCTCTTAATCCTGCATCTGACTTAAAGACTTCAATCATTCTCAGAGCACTTTGAGGCATCACAAGTCAACCTTTCCCTTCCATTTATTCCTCAATGTAACCTATTTTATGAACAAGTAAAGGTAATCATAATATCCACAATAACTACCTTGGGGCACACCTTGAATTCCCCAGAACCCAGTTTCATAATCATCCACTATTTAACAATAAACCTAAAACATGTTGTTGTAACACTAAAGGAAGCCCACTTCAAAAATGCTTTTTTTCAAGTTGATCTCACAGAAGTAGAGAGTAGAATAGACAAGTCAGAGGAGGTGGGAGGGGAGAGGGTGGTCAATGGATACAAAATATAGAGAGATAGGATGAATAATATCTAGTGTTCTATAGCAATATAGGGAGACTACAGTCAACAACAAATTACTGTATAACTTCAAGTAGCTAGTTGAGAGGATTTTGAGTGTTCCCAACACAAAAAGCTGACAAATGTTTGAGGTGATGGATATGCAGGTTACACTGATATGATCATTGCACACTGTATAAATAAACGTACCCAAATATTACATTGTAGTCCATAAATATATACAATTATCATGGGTCAATTAAGAAAAAGTAAATTTAAAAGAAAAAAAAATTGCAGAGACAGGAGCAGACTAGAGGTTACCAGAAACTGGGGGAAAGGAATAATGAGAAGTTATTGATTAATGGGTACAGAGTTTATTTTGGGATGATGAAAAAGTTTTGGAAATAGAGGTGGTAATCACACAGCATTGTGAATGTAATTAACTCCACACAATTGTCTGTTTAAAAATGCTAAAAATGGCAATCCTTATGTTATATATATTTTATCACAATAAGAAAGCAAGCAAGAAACAAACAAACAAACAAACTACAAGAAAAAAAAGAATGCTTTTTTTCCCTCAAAAATTTGACTGAGATTTCACAGATGAATTTTGGGACAGTGGTTAAGGGTACAATCTTTGGAATCCAAAAGGCCTGGGCTTGAATTCAAGCTCCACCACTTACTTACTGCTAGAGCTTCACAGCTTGACAGTTTACTTAATCCTTTGGAATCCTACTCTTTTTTTCTCAAAATGGAGACAAAAGACGTTCCTACCTCATATATTGCTGTATATAAACTCCATATTATGCGGCAAGGCTGGCGCATGGTAAACACTATCAGTAATGCGGGTTATCATTATTACCTTTGCAGAGGGTCTCACAACATGCCACAAACATTAGTCCTTCCCCTTCAAGACCCCCTGCTAATTGCCTGTTGTCAGTGATACTGGAAGTTCTTGAAAGTAGGAACCCGTGGATATCCTTCACAGGATAGCACAGGGCTGTGCTAATAATAATGATAATAATAATAGTAATAATTACAATAATAAAAGTAACAGATCCTAACAAGAGTCTGTCCTTGTCCATAGGGTTCTTACCTCGGCGGGGTTCCCTTCAAATTGGGGGTGTCTGCATTCGGAGTCAGGATCATCCCACTTCTGAAAAGCCTCTGCACACTTGTGAGGATGACTCTCATTCATGCTCTCTTCTGTTTGACCCCGGACAATTCCACTGAAAAAGACAAAGAAGGTCAGTTTGGGATAAAGAATTATGCAAGGTCAGGGGATGGGGTATGAGAATGAAAGTTTGAGGACCTTACCCAATGCCATGAATCCCTAAGCCGAGGATATAGACAATAAAAAAGTGGTGAGTATACCAGAAGACCTCAAAATAGTTCCTCCGTATAAACTCTGTAGCTGAAGTTACCATGAGAACCAGGGCTATTGTCATGATTACTCCAGTGAGACCAGCGATGCTTGTGAATGTCACATACTCCACTGTCTATGAAAGGAGAAATGTCAGCCTGACACAGTGTCCACCAAGGATACCATGCCCTTCCTGTTTATGACCAGATCCCAGATGATTTGCCATTGAGTCAACTCACCATGTTGGGGGAGTGGATGGGATTTAGCCAAGAACCCCCGTCTTTCTCATGATGAGATAGGTTGGAGAGAATGGAAGCAAGGGATCCATCTGTGGCCCGTCGGCTTCTGCTGTAGCGGTCAAAGTTAAACAGGTGTGCAATAATGTGAATAGCTAAATGGAAATATGGAAAGGAATGTAAGCAGTGTCTCAGGAACATCATGGCAGGCGTACCTCACCACAATAGGAGAATCCTAGTGCCTTGCAAAATGCCAAGTTCACAGAAGGTGCCCAATAAACCCTTGATTGTGAAGAGATCCAAGATCTTTTTAATACTCACTTGGTTCCCAAAGGAATAGAATATAAGCTCTGAGAAAACAGGCCTAGAACAGTGCCTGACAAATAGTGCCACAGGTACTCAATAAATATATATATATATATTTTTTAAAGATGACCGGTAAGGGGATCTCAATCCTTGGCTTGGTGTTGTCAGCACCACACTCAGCCAGTGAGCAAACCGGGCATCCCTATATAGGATCCAAACCCGTGGCCTTGGTGTTATCGGCACCGCATTCTCCCGAGTGAGCAACAGGCCAGCCCTTCAATAAATATTTTTTGAATGTGGATGTTCGTGGATGAATGAAACTAGACTCTGAATACTCTGGAGTCTGCAGTTTCATGGTTTGCCTGAGTTACCTGTGTGTAGGCAGATCATATATGCCACCAGCTTGTGGAAGGTGAGGTTGTGATCCAATTGCTTTCTCATTGTGCGGCTGCAAAACTGCAAATGTGAAGTTATCATGGTCAGGTGTCCCCAGCCAGCCTTATGAAATTCACTAACCCATACCAACATGTCTTAACGCATAGCATTCTAATATCCACCCACCTTTACCCACCCCTTAGCTACCAAAGGAAACCTCTGGCTTCCATTCCTAGAGGATTGGTGTTGGACTGTCCTCCTGAGGAGTCCAGGGTCTCTTTCTTTAATGGAAAAATTGACTTAGGTGTGGTTGGGACTTACTGAGCAGGTGCCCCTCAGGAATGACAGCAGATTGCGACACATGGGAAGCAGGATCAGCATGCTGTTAAAATTCAAGCAGAAAGCAGATGCTCGGGCACAGGCCAATGTCGACTAGAGCAGAGGAGAAAAGAGACCATGAGCTGCTCCATCTCACCATCTAGCAGGTGGCCCAGTCCACTTTTCTGAGACTTGCAAATGGACAGGGCTACAGTTTCCTCACCTCTCTAGCACAAACAGACCAGGCCCTCTGTTCGCAAAAGACAGAAAAAGTGCTAAACTTAATACTGAATTGAGAAATTCCCATGACAGTGGTTTGGAAATGTTTGACTATATGTTTATTAATATGAACGAGAATAGGATTTAATGATTCCACATTAGCAAATACATTCTATAGATGTAATCTTTTGCAATGAATACATTTGTTTAATATATTCAACTATGATTTTGTTGTCATTTGTAAAAGTCTTGAATATCATATATACTTTTATTCACATTTTAAAGAAAGCTCATATTTAGAGGTATAATTACAGATGGTGACTATTCTCTCTTCTGTATTGTCTAATGGTGCAATTATAAGCATGTAATAGTTATATAATAAAAACAATAAAACTTTAACCACCTATATTTAAGATGTCTTTAAAAATTGAATAAATCTTAGGCAAGACTAGGACATTCTTACAGCAGAATTTTTAAACTTAGGTTGAGAAGGGAGAACTTCTGAGAGCAGAATTTCGAACTGATTTCCTTGTATGGCCAGGCAGCATAAATCAAGAGCAACCCAATCCAGCAATAAAAGCTGCTAAAAGGAGACAATTAGTGCTTTAAAGAAGTATTTAGCCCAGAAACAGGCCTGACTAGGTATTGTCTGGACAGAATATGCTCAACTCTATAGGAGCTAAGTCCGACTTCTCTCTTCAATTCTGTACAATTTGTCTCTGAGTCTGCTTCATGTACTTGGAAATACAGGCTATGGGGTGTGACAGTCTTGTAGTGGTAGTGGAGGTGGTGGCAGCAGCCAGGCAATTTTTGTCACACTTCAACTGACTGGCCAGCCTTACATGTATGCCTATCAAAGACTTGTTAAAAGGAAGAGTATGGGTTAGAGTTAATTTCTTGGTCTTTTTCTAATAATCTTTAAGGCACAAAAACTATTTTTCCATAAAACCTAAACCTAGAACAATGTGATATCAATTTAATAAGCCTGGTTAAGATCTTCCTTAAGTCCATAATGGCTTACAATGTCAGGCAACAGTGAACAAAAGCTGTACTACTGTTTTCCATGTCTGGCTCTTCCACATGACCTGTGTTTTCTCCCTCTGCTGAGTCACTCTCTGACTGTTTTTGGTAGAGACAGCCTGTTCCATGTCTGAGTAAATTTTCTCTGCTCATCTCAGAGATCCTGCATTTCCACATTGGTTCCCACACAGCTTGCTTATGTGAGTCACAGAGTTTTCTTAAAGTTAAAATTGGCAAGTGAATTGAAAATATAGGACTATAATTTCACAGCTCCATATTCTGTATGGAATGAGTTCTTTTTAGAGAAAATCTTTTTTCCCCATTGCAGCACACTGGAACATCCCAATGTATGTTCATTTCTCTATATCAACACTCACTGATGTTATCATTGAACTGCTGCTGTCATTAATGCTTCATTGACTGTGGATTTAAGCTCCTTCCTCTGCTACTCTTTTGCTTTGCTTCGTAGTGAATCAAATTACTCTCTGTATTTTCCAAAGGTGAGCATGAATTTAAGAAATACCTTATGGAATGATTAAATAAATTATGGCATATCAATGCAATAGACTATTACTCTCTCAAAAGACTGAGATCTTTATGCAGTGGTGTAGTGGCGGTAAATGTCTTAACAATCAACTTTTTGGAGGGAGAGGGGATTCTCAATTTCCAGCATTTGCCAGTTTTTAGGATATAAATACTGCTACTGTGGCAGATTTCAAGATACCCCACTTAATGTCATTGAACTCCAGTGAATGCAGAGTTGAGAAGAGATATACACAACTGGCTATTGCAAGCTGGCACGAGCTGGTTCCAGCACACCACTGGTTAAATACTCATCCGGAAAGATACCTGAGATACATTAAGCCTAAGAGGCAATTTCCAGCCAATATGTGCAATGATTTTTTGATCCCTTTTTTGTTAAGACAAAAGACTATGTGTCCTCCTCTATGAGGGTACTTCAAAAAGTTTGTGAAAAAATCGAATCAAAAGATAATACAAATCTTTCCATGAACTCTTTGAAGTATCCTTTGTACGTGTTTTTCAAGACTCATAGCACTGTACACCAAAAAAAGAGCAAATTTTACTATATGACAATTAAAAGGTGAATAAACAATAGTACCTACCTCAAAAACAAAAACAAAACGTGTGTGATGCATTTGAGAACATATGTCACTATGTCTATATATACATACACTGAATTATTAACAGTGGTTATCTCTAGGGAGCGGGATGGGTGAGGGATTTTCACATTTTACTTATACACGTCTGTGTGGTTTGATTTCATTAAAAACATCATTACCCATAATTATTTTTTTTAATATGGCTTTTAAAAAATGAAACATCCATAGGACATCAGCATGATTCATTTTTGTGCTTCTGACTTTTTGGTCATGAAGTGATCAAAGCTCTTAATAACTAGTCACATTTATTGCATCATTCTCTTAATAAAAGCTATTTTTAAAACAAATTAATGCTTCCTTTGGAGCTATGGTTTCTAAAAATGGATCAAAGGGCGAACATTTAAAATGGAAAACAGCACGGTGAAAAAAGCCATGAACAGAACATTCAAATTAGTTGTGATCTCCACATGAATCCTTTGATTAGGGAGAGAAAAGAAGGATTTTTTAAAAGGACAAGCTGCCTTTAAACATGTACATTGGGCGGGCCTTTGTGAAAGCTACTGAAAAAAGGCACCGTCCAGATGAAAGTGATTTAACCAAATCTCTTACCTGTTACTGCATAATAGACTAGAGACAGCAGTCAGACTTGCTCTTCTAACCAGGTAGTGCCCAGCTTCATCAGCCTATGAGAGAACATTCTCACCTGCACACGTCCTACTGGTCACCTCCGTGCCCACCTGCCCTACCCAACCCCACCCCTGCCTCTTCTGTTCTTGATTTTCCACTTCCCCAGCCTTCCCCCCTCCGTTCTGCAGGCCTTGAGTTCTGCAGCACACTCCACCCCCAGACCCCCCTAAATATCCCTTCTGTTTGTTAAAGAGGTATTTTTCTGTAATGTTAGTCCACAGCAGTGGTCTACAAGTTGTTTTCTGTTTTTTTCCTTTTTTCTTTTCTTTTCTTTTTTTTTTTTTAACCAAACCCTTTCTTAAAATCATAAGCAGGAGTCTGTGAGACAGACGTAGACCTTGCTGTGGCTGAAGTAAGGCAGAGCAGGAGCACTGCCCCGTTAGCCTTCCCTTCACATCCTATAAGGAGCACCTGAGTTTCTGGAAGCCAGTTTGAAAATAATAGTTTTCTTAACTGCCTAATAGTTTTCTTTATTGCATTTTTTTCTTAATCAAGTCTGGGAAGTGTGTCCTAGATAGGGTTGTCAGATTTAGTAATTAAAAATACAGGACGGCTAGCTAAATTTGAACTTCAGATTTTTTTTAATGAATATTTTAGCATACCTATGTTCCATGCAATATTTGGAACATACTTATATAAAAAAATGATTTGTTATTTATCTGAAATTCAAATTTAACTGGGCGTCCTGTATTTTTTCTGGCAACCCAAGCCCTAGAGGAAATCAGGGCATTGGGTCCCAAAGGAGTCGGAATCAGAAATAAGAAAAAAAAGTAGAGATTCTCCACATTGCAACTGTGGTACTCACCCCAAGGATTTCTCTCGTGTAGTAGTACTTGTCACCTTTTGCGTATTTCAGGTAGGCATACACAAACAGGAAAATATTCAGCCCCAACCAGACAGCCTAGAGGAAGAAAAAACAAACAAGGAATGAAATGAAATTTGGGTATGGGAAGGAGTAGACAAGGGATTGGAAATAGTGTCACCATTTTGGGTATTTTGTGTTTATCTACTTTCATTTTCAATGAGTATAATCAAAACAAGAAGATTTCAGTAACCATAATAAATAAAGTGATACTGGAACTTAGCCACACCTACTCATTTCTGGATTCTTTATGGCTGTTTTCATGATACAATGACAGGGTTGAGCAGTTGGGACAGACCATATGGCTTGCAAAGCCTAAAATATGTACTATCTTGCTTTTTACAGAAACATTTGTCAATTCCTGGACTAGAGCATTCATACTATTGCACCTAAAAGATAGCAATAAGTGAATAAGTAGATTTCTGAAGAAATAAAGACTAAATTTAGCGACTATAACAATACCCTTCTGAAAAGGACTAAGCCATTCCAGATGGGCCTGCCTCTTTAATTACACCCTGACACATATTTTTCTGTTTTTAGATGGTGAGTTATTTTTCAAATTAACCTATTGTTGCTTTGGACTCATTAAACTCTTAAGACTGTTTTTGCCTGTCCCAAGTTTTGTCTCTGCACTGGCTAAGGGGGAAATTTGGAATCCACTGGCCATTGCCTTTGCTATGGATTAATTAAATTATGTCCCCAAAGTTCATATAGTAGAAGCTTAATTCCCACTGTAACTGTTGAGGGTGGGAAATCCTGCTATGGTAATTGAAAGATGGGACCTTGAAGAGGTGGTTAGATTCTGAGGACCATGCCTAGTGAATGGATTTTAAATGGTGGTCATGGGCATGGTACTGAGAGCTTAAAAAGGAGAGTACATGAGGAACTCTCTCTCTCTCTGCTTCCACCATCTTGCAATGTGAGACCCCTAGGTCATTGTCACCACCACCAGATGTGTTCCTTGGACCTTGGACTTCCCAGCCTCAGAAACTGTAAGCAATAAATTTTGTTTTCTTTATAAATCACCCAGTTCCAAGTATTTTGTTATAAGCAACAAAAACGGACTAATACAGCCTTAGAGGCCAACCACTGGACTCTAGCCCAAGTTTGGAGGTGCTAATCTGTAATTCAACAGCCCAATGCTCCAGGGCATTAGGATGCCTCTCTAGTATATATCCCTAGCCCCAGAGTGGGTCAGAGCCATCTTAACCCACAGGTAAAGGGCATTTAGCCTAGGACATGGCCCACGCAGGTTTCCTAGAGCTGGACACCTCTAGCAGCACAGCATAGAGATATTGGAATCAAAGTCCTTGGTCTCAAATTCTACTGCCACTACTTACTAGTTCTGTAATCTTAGACATGTGATTTAACTTTTCTGAACATCAATCTCTTCATCTGTAAAATGAGGATATTAACAGTATCTGCCTCACAGCAATGCTTTACACGAGCTAACACATATAAAGGGATCAATGCGATGCTTGGTGCATAGTAAGAGCTCAATAAATGCTGTCTACATAGTCGAGGCCTTACTAAACTGGCTTTACCAATCAATTTCTTCCTGTCTCCTTTGTTTAGATGTTCTTTCCAGAGTTGAGTGTCTTCCAGAGACTCTTTGACTCCAATGGCAAAAGAGAATTGAAAGCCACAGATCCCTCAAGAATTTAGAAGATAGAGGAGAGAAGCTTATTAAGAGAGAGCAGAAATATTTCGGGATCAGAGAGGGACATAGAGGCAAAGAAGTCTGTGTCAGCCCATCGTCAATTGTAGGCAAAGCAAATGATGAAATACAGTGACATCTAGGATTAAGGAATTCCGTTTCCCACCTTGGCTGTCATTTCCTTCACTATGAATGGAAAAGGAGGTGGAGTACAAGACCTGGCAGGAAGGAGGAATAAAAACGTTTTTTGAGTAATTTACTTTTTATTTAAATACATAGTACATAGGAGTATTTTTGGAGATAGTGTGAAGTCTGAGCCTGCCAGCAGGATTGGCGGGGGTGGAAATTCAAAGTTAGAGAGTCAAATGTGAGTCACTAACATGGGTGATGAACTCCCCCAGCAAAAAATGAGAAGGGTAAAAAATGCCGTGGATTTTAGAGGTAGAAAAACTCTTATATTTGTACCTAATCTAGTCACTTCCTTAACCCCTTGCTCCCCTAAATACATGCACGTGCATAAACACACACACAGGACTAAAGTCTAGAGAGGATAAATAATTTGATTAAAGTCACTGAGTTAGTAGCAGAACTGAAAGCACTTGACAGGTTCCCTGTCTCCTAAACTAGTGCTCTTTCCTTTACAATGCAAAAGGAACTAAATATAAGGCACTGAGTACTAAAAATATAAAGCATGTGATAACCTGACAAAATAAGCACTTGCCTTTTGTTAAGTGCAAAGCAAACAACCCTCCAGGGGAATTCCATACCTTTTTCCCTGGAGCACCTGGGCAGTCCTACGGGACCCAAAGGAAAAACAGAAGAAAAGAGAAAGAGCCCCAACAGGAGTGTTGGATGCAGCTCTGGGAAAGTGAGAAAGGAGACAGAAGCCCCAGGCTCAGTCATGGCTCAGAAATGAAAAAATGAGAGTGGAGAAAGGCATGTGCGCGGGCGCTGGGAGGAAGGAATTGTGAACATGGGGGTGCCAAAGGGTTTCTGGCCTGAACATTGGGGACCTGGGTTTGAGTGATGGCTCTTCAGTCAATTCATTGTGTGACATCCGGGTCTTGTTTGCCTTTGTAAAAGCAAGGAGTTGGTTTATGTATGCCGGCAATGCCATAGCCACTACCACATGTGGCTACCGATCTTTTGACATGAGGCTAGCCCTAACTGAGATGTACGGTGAGCATAAAATACACATCAGATTTCAAAGACTTAGTAAAAATAAAAGAATATAAGTTATCTTATTAGTATTTTCAATATTGATTATATTATGAAAGAATATTTTTGGTATATTGCATTAAATCAAGTATATTGTTAAAAATTAATTTTGCCTGTTTCTTTTTATTTTTTTTTTTCAGTGTAGGTATTAAAAATTTAGAAATTACCTATGTGGCTTGCAATATATTTCTAGTGGGCAGTGCTGGGCCAGATGATCTCTAAAATCACTTCCATCTCACACATTCAATGATTTTATGAAATCTTGATGGGAGCAATATAGGAAGAATAAAGAGAAATGTATGTTCCATGGCAGCAGTTAGAAGTGAGATGGAAAAGAAAAGAAGACGGAAAATATAAACAGACTGAAATTCCAGGTATTCATAGTTTAGCAACATGAACGTTTGCATATTATTTGTTTCTGTTTTTTCATCTGGCCTAGAGTTGGATTTTTTAATTAAGAAGCCCAATATTTGGCATGGAATTTATCCCTTTCAAATAACTACAAATATTAACAAACATATGGTATCTCCTTGCTCTGTTAACCTTCCTAATTAATAGGAAGTGAAACATCACTTACCAGAACCAAAACTGAGAACCAGTGGTTAATGACCCAGTTTCCCATTATCAAGAAGTGGTTTGGAGCTTCTCTAGGCAGCAGGGAACATTCAGCAATCTGGATTCTGGAGCAGTCCTCCAGAGTTGGAACTTCTGTCCAGCTCAGGGTCTGTGAGTCTTTAAGATGTGAAAAATGCACAGCTACCCACAAAGCTTCTGAACAGAACTGTGTAATTAGTTTAGGTAGACCAGCCCTGTCAATGAGAAATACAGGGATTTTCCCTGTTGGGGTTTTTACACCTTCAGGAAATAATCTTCCTGGGTAAATGTACCCTCTCTCATCGTCTTATCAATATGACCTAAAGTGAAGCACCGACTTCCTTGATAAGAGATTTGCTAAGGTTTCTCATAAGAAGGATAATTAGGCTGGGACCATAAACTGACTAGCTAAGCAGAAGCAGGAAAAGAAGCACGTATGCTAAGAAGTTGCTTGAGGTGAACTTTCAGAAGAGTTGCCGTATCTGCCAGCTCCATTCGGACCTCAGCCAGGCTAGTCCAGAAATTGCAATATACCAATTTCCCCAGAGGATGAGCCATGATTGATGGATATGATGATGGTTCTGGGGTAAGCTTGACTGGCTACAAGGACAAGTGAAAAAAGAGCCAAATAGAATAAGAAAAAGAACTAGCAAGTATAAATGTACACCTTGCTTCAAAATAAACAGAGGCAGAGCACTCAAAACAAGGGAGGTGATTGTCTTCCAGTATGATGGATTAGCTAGAGCTGTGTGCTCAGCTCTGAACCCTGATCTTTTTTCCCTTTTCTAAGATGGTAAAAGATATCATACATAGAAGAGTGTATAAAGCATATATATGCAACTTAAAGAATAATTTTAATGGATGAATATCTATGTGTTCATTACACAGATTAAAAAAATAGAATACAGTTGACCTTCAAACAACACAGGTTTGAATTGCACAGGCCCATTTATATGTGGATTTTTTTCCATAAATATGCAGTACAGTACTGTAAATGTATTTTCTCTTATGATTTTCTTAATAACATCATCTTTTCTCTAGCTTACTTTATTGTAATAATACAGTATATATTACATATAACATACAAAATATGTGTCAACTGACTATGTTATCAGTAAGGCTTCCAGTCAACAGTAGGCTATTACTGGTTAAGTTTGGGGGGAGTCCAAAGTTATACCTGGATTTTTGACTGCGCCAGGGGTCAGTGCCCCTAACTCCCACATTGTTCAAGGATCAATTGTATTTACTTCCTGTATCTTAAAGCCCTCTGTGTGTTCCTCCCTGATCGCGTTCTTCTTCCTCCCCTCCCTTTCCCCCTCCCCCACCAGCTGTAACCACTAACCTGAAATTTGGGGTAATAATAATTTCCTTGTTTTTCTTTATAGTTTTAATAACTATAATTGCATTTATAAACAATATATTGTTTAGTTTTTCCTATTTTTGAACTGTTTAAAATGGAACCTAGCTGGGCCGGCCCGGTGGCGCACTGCTACAGTGCGCCGTTTGGGAGTGTGACGGCGCTCCCGCCGAGGGTTCGGATCCCACATACAGACCGGTTCCCGCTCACTGGCTGAGCGAGGGGCGGGCGCAGCACCGAGGGTTGCGATCCCGTTGCCGGTCCCGGTCCGGTATGGGCGCGATACTGAGGGTTGCGATCCGTTGCCGATCACGAAAAAAGACAAAAAGGAAAAAAATAAATAAATAAATAAAATAAAATGGAACCTAGCTGTATGTATGTATGTATGCTTCTGTGATTTGCTTCTTTCAACAATGGTTTTTTGAGATTCATACACGTTGGTACACGTATTAAACTTTACTACATAATGCCAAACTCTGTTCCTAAGTGCTCACGTAAATGTACACTCCAGTGAGCCCTGGATAAGAGTCCCATTTCTTCCACATGCTTACCAACACTTGGTATTTTCCAGACTTTTTTATTTTTATGATTCTAGTGAGTATGAAATTCTATATTATTATTATTTTAATTTACATTTTCCTGTTACTAATGAGATTGAGCATGTTTTAATTTAACTATTGGACATCTGAGTTTTCTTTTTTGAGAAGTGCCTATTCTACTTTTTGGCCTATCTTTCTATTGGTTTATTTTTCTTTTGCTTATAGATTCTTAGAGTTCAATTTATAATCTGATACTTATCCTTTATTGGTTATGTTTATGACTTATCTTTTTACTCTTTTAATTGTATTTTCCAATAAATGAAAGTTCTTCATTTTAATGTACTCTGATTTACCAGAATTTTCCTTTATGATTTATACATTTTGTTTTGCTTTAGAAATCCATCACTACCCAGAGATCAAGATATTCTCTTATATTTTCTTCTAAAACTTTTTGTTTTTGCCTTTCACATTTATGTTTTGAATCTACCTGGAGTTGACTTTTTATGTACGGTGTGACGTAGGTATTTGTATTAGCCCATTTTCTATTGCTTATAACAGAATGCCTGAAACTGAGTAATTTATCAAGAAACAGAATTTATTTCTTACAGTTTTAGAAGACAGGAAGTCCAAGGTCAAGAGGGTACATCTGGTGAAGGCTTTCTTCTTGATGGGGGACTCTGTACAGAGTCCCATGACTACACAGGGTATCACATGGTCAGGGCTGAGCAACAGCACACTTCCACATGTTTTCTTCCTCTCCTCATAAAGCTCCCAGTCTACTCCCTGATAACCCATTAAATCATTAGCCCATTAATCCATAGTCATCATGCAATCACCTCTTAAAGCCTCCACCTTTTAAATACCATATTGGGGATTAGTTTCCAACATGAGTTTTGGAGGGGACAAACATTCAAACCACAGCAGGTTCAATTTACTATTTTTCTATATGGAAAACTGTTACAGCACCATTTTGAAAAGTATATTTGCTAGTTCTATCATACATCAAATGTCTATATATATGTGAGTTTTTTCTTGAGCTCTCTGTTCAGTTCTCCCACGTCACTGCCTTAATTACTATGGTTTTGTAATAAGTCTTAACATCTGATAGGTCAAGTTTTCCCACCTTGTTCTTCAAGAGTGCTTTGGCTATTCTTGGCCTTTTGCACCTTCATGTAAATTTTATAATCAATTTCCTCTTGCATCTCCTTTATTACATTTATTGCTAAGAACTTTATATATTTTTATTTTTTATTTATTTTTTATTTTTTTTTTAAAAGATGACCGGTAAGGGGATCTCAACCCTTGACTTGGTGTTGTCAGCACCACGCCCAGCCAGTGAGCGAACCGGCCATCCCTATATGGGATCCGAACCCGGGGCCTTGGTGCCATCAGCACCGCACTCTCCCGAGTGAGCCACTGGGCCGGCCCTATATTTTTATTTTTAATTATGGCTATTATATTTTAAAAACTGTTTTTTACGTTTTTTTAATCCAGCAACATTTCTAAACTCATTAATTCTAATATTTTCTTTTTTTTTTAGAACATTTTATTGAAACAGTTGGTTGCAAAGCATTTTTTTTCTTTCTTTATTGAAAGATAATTGATTAAATATATTTGTTGGGTACAGAATTGAATATCAATACATGTGTTCAATATGTGGTGATCAAATCAGGATAATTAGTATACTCATGTTTACCAAACATAATCCATCTTTGTGACCCTTTACTAGTTTCTTACTAACCCCTTCCACTTCCCCCTTTCCCACCTCTAATAACCACAGTTCTGTTCTCTTTTTTTTTTTGAATGTTCAATGTATAATTGTGATTCTTCCTTTCTTTCTTTCTTACTTTCTTTACTTTAGCTCCCATTTACAAGTGAGGAAATATGGTATTTCTCTTTCTGTGCCTGGTTTATTTCACTTAACATAATTTTCTCTAAGTTCATCCATGTTGTTGCAAACGTCAGAATTGCATTCTTTTTTATGCGTATATATACCACATTTTCCTTATCCAGTCATCTTTCGATGGACATTTAGGTTGATTGCAACTCTCAGCTATTGTAAATAGAGCTGCGATGAACATGGAAGTGCAGGTGTCCCTTCAACATAATGATTTTTATTTCTTTGGGTATACACCCAGCAGTGGCTGCTGAATTGTATGGCAATTCTATCTGTAGTTGTTTGAGGAACCTCCATACTGTTTTCCATAATGGCTGCACTAATTTACACTCCCACCAATAGTGTAGGAGTGTTTCCCTTTCTCTACATCCTTGTCAGCATTTGTTGTTCTCTGTCTTTTTGTTACTGACCAGTCTAACTGGAGAGAGATGATATCTCAATGTGGTTTTGATTTGCATTTCCCTAATACTTAGTGATGTTGGGCATTTTTTCATATGTCTGTTGGCTATTCATATATCTTCCTTTGAGAAATGCCTATCAGCTCCTTTACCTTTTTTAAAGATGACCGGTAAGGGGATCTTAACCCTTGACTTGGTGTTGTCAGCACCATGCTCACCCAGTGAGTTAACCGGCCATCCCTATATGGGATCCGAACCCGTGGCCTTGGTGTTATCAGCACCACACTCTCCCGAGTGAGCCACAGGCTGGCCCGATATTCTGTGTCTTTTTGATAACAGCCAGTCTAACTGGAGTGAGATGTTATCTCAATGTGGCTTTGATTTGCATTGCCCTGATGGTTAATGTGATGTTGAGCATTTTTTCAAGTGTCTGTTGGCCATTTGTATATCTTCATATAAGAAATATCTATTCAGTTCCTTTGCCCATTTTTTAATTGGGTTACTTGTTTTACTGTTGAGTTGTTTGAGTTCTTTGTATATTCTGGTTATTAATCCCTTGTCAGATGCATAGTTTCCAAATATTTTCTCCTGATCTGTAGGTTGTCTTTTCTCTCTGTTTTTTGTTTGTTTGTTTGTTTTTTGCTGTGCAGAAGCTTTTTAATTTGATATATTCCCATTCGTTTATGTTTTCTTTTGTTGCCTGTGCTTTTGGAGTCTTATTAATAATGTCTTTGCCCAGTCCTATATCTGGAAGTGTTCACTTATGTTTTCTTTAAGAAGTTTTATAGTTCCATGTCTTATATTTAAGTCTCTAACCCATTTTGAGTTGACTTTGGTATATGGCAAGAGGTATGGGTCTACTTTCATTCTTGTACATATGGATTTCCAGTTTTCCCAGCACCATTTATTGAAGAGGCAGTCTTTTCCCCAGTGTATGTTCTTGGTGCCTTTGTCAAGGATCAGTTGGCTGTAAGTAT